AGATCTATATTTTTATTTAGATTCTTGAGAAATTAAATATCAATTTAATTCTAGTCTTCATTCTTTTAATATCTGTATACATTATGAATGTATTTACAGATTTGAAACTATTCCCAGAAGGTTACTAAACTATATATGTTCTTTGACCTAACTAAAACACTACTAAGTCTATACCACATAGAAATCAGAGAAAGAGGAAAGGAATTTATATGTACTAACATTTTAGCAGCTATTTTCAGCTAAAAATTGAAAACTAAAACTGTTTCCTATTGGAGAATGGCTAAGATAAAGAACGTATATCACAGTATGGGTGTAATGGAATATTATTGTGCTATAAGAAATTATTAAATTAATAGATTCAGAGGAAAAAGAGAAGACCTCTATGAACCTTGGCAGAGAGAAGTGAGCAGAACTAGAATGGTTTATACAGTGATACTATTATAGAGAAGAACATCAGAAGACTTTAGAACTCTGATCAGTGCAATCCTAAGTCCAAAAGAATGAAGGTGAAACTCAACTCACTTCCTGCCAGAGTAGATGAACTTAAAAGGCATAATGATATGTAACATTTTTGGACATGGCTAATGTAGTAAATTGTTTCCTGGTCTATGCAGCTATGTCAGGGCTTTATTTTTAATTTGTTAAATGAGGGTGTAGGAGGTAGTGGTATGGGCAGATTAATTTTTTAAATGCTTATTTATTGAAGAAATAAACTCTTAACAAAAAATGAAAAATAGAAGGTTAAAAAAAAGAATACATTTACAGGCTAATGACCTTTCTGGAAGGAGGACCATTGTACAAGTTAGAACCATTTAGAACTTGAATTAAATTAAACCAACTTTTGAAAAGTAGGAATTACTCGAGTTGACTTTTTTGCTTTTCAAAGGCATCAGCATTTGTGTCTTAATACTTAAATATCTTACAAATATAACAGAGCCATTGTCTTTCAGTTCAAATTAGATTATATCACTTGACATTTGTACTTTTTTAAATAGTATTTTATTTTTTCCCTAAATACATGTCAAGAAAATTTTTAGCATTCATTTTTACAAGATTTTGAGTTCCAAATTTTTCTCCCTTCTCTCCTCTCCTCTTCTGAAAATGGTAGGCAGTTTGATATAGTTTATACATGTGCTATCATGTAAAACATATCTCCATATTAGTCACGGTTGTGAATGAAGAAACAGATTTAAAAAAAACATGAGAAAGAATAAAGTAAGTGAAAAAAATGTGCTTCCATCTGCATTCAAAGTCTCAGTTCTTTATCTGGATATGGATAGCATTTTCCTTCGTGAGTTTTTTGTGCTCGTCATGGATCATTGTGTTGCTAAGAAGAGCTGAGTGATTCATAGCTGATCATCACACAGTGTTGCTGATGCTGTGTACAGTGTTTTGCTGGTTCTGCTCATTTCACTTTGCATCAGGTCATACGAGTCTTTCCAGGATTTTCTGAAACCTCTTCATCATTTCTTATTGCACAGTAGTATTCCATTACATTCATATACCTCAACTTGTTCAACTATCCCCTAATTGATGGGCATCCCCTTAATTTCCAGCATTTTGCCTCCACAAATAGGGCTGATATAAATATTTTTGCACATGTAGGTCCTTTTCCCTTTTTTATTATCTCTTTGGGATACAGATCTAGTAGTAGTATTGTTGGATCAAAGAGTATGCACAGTTTGGTTGCCCTTTGGACATGGTTCCAAATTGTTCTCCGGAATGGTAAGATCAGTTTACAACTCCACCAATGGTGCATCAGTGTCCCAGTTTTCCCACATCCTCTCCAACATTTGTTTTCCTTTTCTGTCATATTAGCCAATCTGATAGTGTGAGGTAGTATCTCAGAGTTGTTTTAATTTGCATTTCTCTAGTCAGAAGTGATTTAGAGCACTTCTTCATATGCCTGTAGACAGCTTTGATCTTTCATCTGCCTGTTTATATCCTTTGACCATTTATCAGTTGGGAAATGGCTTGTATTCTTATACATTTTACTTAGTTCTCTATATATGTGAGAAATGAGGCCTTTATCAAAGACGCTGCTGTAAAGATTGCTTCTCAGCTTTCTGCTTTCCTTCTAATCTTGGTTGCATTGGTTTTGTTTGTACAAAAGCTTTTTAATTTAATGTAATCAAATTATCTGTTTTACATTTTGTAATGTTCTCTGTTGCTTCGTCATGAATTCTTTCCCTCTCCGTAGATCTGACAGATAGAGTATTCTTTGCTCTTCTGATTTGCTTCTGGTGTTGCCTTTTATGTCCATGCACTCATTTTGATCTTGTCTTGGTATATGGTGTGAGGTGTTGGTCTATACCTAGTTTATGTCCTATGACATTTGTACTTCTGGCAGTTTGTGTTGACACTTGTTGTTATTGTTGTTTGATAACCTTTAATATCTCTGCCGAGTTATGGGGAATCATGAGACCTGGCAGGTTCTGGCTGAAGGTTGTAGCATATGTGGAATCCAAATATCTATTAGTGATCAGCAAAATAGATTGTGTTTGTGTTTTCACTTCTGGTTTTTTTTTTTAATATTTTTATATTTTTTAATTGCTTGCTCCTGTTGGAAATTCAAAATAGCAAAAAGGTACTATTTTTGAAAAGAAAACCATATTTAGTCTTGGAAACAAAAAAAGAATCATCACAAGTAGAATATGTCATTTTGTAAGACTCAAAAATTTTATCGTCGTAACCTCAACAAGCATTCATTAAGCACTTAATACCTGCTTCTCCTTTCTTTTGCCCTTCTGACAGTTGCAATTTAAATAATCAGACCTTTTTTGTTAAGAATAGAAGGTCCGTGGAGATACAATCTATTGATTTGCTGATAGACATGAGCCATTTGATAATTGAGAGGCAGTATGTTGTATTAGAGCATAGAGAGACTTGAGCTAATTATATGTGATGCTTGGTCAAGTCACTTAATGAATTAGTGTGTGAAAACAGTTTTAAAAGGAGGCATTATTGTGTTAAGGAAAAACAAAACCATTAGCTTGGGAGCCAGGAGACATGGATTTGAATCACCACTTCTGCCACAAACTAGCTTTGTGTTCTTGTTCAGGTAATATCTGAGTCTCAGTTTTCTTATCTGTAACATGAGAGGTGGGACTAAATGAACTCTTAAAGTACTTTCCAGTTCTAAAATTCTATTTTTCTTTTTTGCATATTAAAATATTATAGTAATATGTTGTTGTTTAACTTCACAGGTCTGTTTATCTGAAAAATAGAGGTAATACCTTCCCATCTCACCCCTCAAAGAATTAGAATTTAGATCTCCTAAGTGCTAGCCAAGTGTTCTTTCACTGCTGTTCATTCATCAACTGGATAAACTCCAGCAGTCACAAGCAGTTTGAGAGATTGTATGCACATGGACACTTGTTCTTAGTTGGTCTATGTGTAGTGTAGTGATTACACCACAAAGAGTACTGTAAGGATCAGTAGTTCTAGATTCTGGTCTTGGGTCCTATATGGGACTTGCTTGATCTCTCCAACTTCTCATAACTCTTCCACTCTCCACATACCCCCCCATTACCTTATTTATTATTTATTATATTATTTAATATATATTTATTTTACTGTATGTGTGTGTGTGTATGTATATATATATATATATAATATATATATATATATATATATATATATATATATACTTTATATAATTTTCTTGGTAGAATGTCAGTTCCTGGAGGGCAGGTAACATTTCTTTTTGTTTTGTTTTGTTTTGTTTTTTTGTTTTGTTTTGTTTTTGTTCTTGTATCTCTAGTGCCTGGCACATAATAAGAACTTTATATGTGCTCGGTTAATTATTTTATGATCTTATTACTTTTCCATTTTGAGCTTCAGTTTCCTCACTTATAAAAATGAATTACTTAGACTCACTCAGACCCCTTCTATCTCTAAAAGTTGTTTTGTGGTTTTTTTTGTTTGTTTGTTTTGGCTAGGCAGTGAGGTTAAGTGACTTGCCCAGGGTCATACAGCTACTAAGCGTCAAGTGTCTGAGGTCAGATCTGAACTCAGGTCCTCCTGACTCCAAGGCAAGAGCTCTATCCACTACACCACCTAGCTGCCCCTAAAAGTTTTCTTAATAGACAGTTTCTTAGGAGTTCAGAAAATCTTCATATTTTATTTATTTTTCCTTTGTCTGACTTAAAGTAGCAAAGTTCAAATAATCTAGTCATCAGGTCACCAAGCATTTATTAGACAGTTAGTATGTGCCAGCACTGTGCTAGAGATTCACAAAGAAAGATACAAACAGTCCCTGTTCTCAACTAGTCACCTGCAACCTACTAGTTACATACAAGATATTTACAGGGTAAATTAAAGGTAATTTCATAGGGAGGTACTAGGACTAAGGGAGACTTGCCGAGAATGTAGGATTTGATTCAAAACTTGAAGAAATCAAGAAAAAAAGATTCTTGGGAATATATGATTTGTAATAGTTAAGAGTTATCCCAGAAGAATGCAGTCCATAGAGTTCCTGTTTGCTACCATCATCTTTCGTTAAGGGAGACAATGGTGGTGACATTTTTGAAATCTTGTGGCATTTCTTCAGCATTTCATATTTTGGAAGGGAAAAAAATGCCTGGATGTCTGAACATTACCTCCATCCCTGCTTGAAAAACTCAGCAGGTATGCCATTAGGTCCTGGAGCCTCATTGTTCTAAATGTCTCTGACAGTAGGAGTGATTTCTTCAGAAGTTGGAACACAAGCCATGTTCATCATATCTTGGCAGTTTCTCTGTGCTTTATAGTAATGATGAAATTAAGACGGTCAGAGTTTTGTTGTTATCTCTCTGCAGGGTTCTCTGTCTGGATGATGAGGGTAAAAAGAAGCACCATGTCACAGCTTACCTCCTCCTGTTTTTATATATAGCCCTTTGTGTTTTAAGATGAAAATGCTCAAAAAATACAGACATATACACACACGATGATCTGTCTAAAAATGTCTTATATTGTCATATTAAGCTCTAGATGACCAAATACAAATGTATTTCTTACAGGGCGGATCCTCTATCAAATCTGGTTCTAACCTTCAGTACTAAAGAAGATGCAGTTGCATTTGCAGAAAAAAATGGTATGTATTACTTCTTTTCTCCAAAACAGCCTGTGATTTTATGAATGGGTTTTTAACTTAATCATTATCATTCAATAGTAGTTGAAACCTGAATTTAAGGAACTTTTAAGTTTTGATAAGAAAACTTTTTAACAAAACAAAAAAAGAAAAAGAAAAAAATGAAAACTTTTAAAAACTAAATCTTGTGACAAGTCCTAGAATTTCTTAATTACAGACATGCCCTTATTTGGTTGTTATCAGTTAGTCAACAAAGCCCTTATACTCTGCTAATCACTATACAAATTCTAGACATACAAAGAAAAGCAAAAGCAGCCCCTCCTCACACTTAGATAACATACATAAATAAATAAGGCCTTTCAAAGAGGCATCCAAATTTAATGGAATGTTATATCAGTCAACAAGCATTTACTCAATGCTGACTGTGTGCCAGACATTTTGCTCTGTGCCAGGGTTACAAAAGCAAAAGAGTCCATGAGACAAACAAAAGTAGATACAAGGTAAAGTTGGAGAGAAAGGCATTAGCAACTGCAATGACCAGGAAAGGCAGAGACTGGCATTTGCACTGAGTCTTGAAAGAAACCAGGGATTCCAAGGGACAGGTGAGGAGAGAGAACATTATAGATATGGGCTGGAAAGGAATTAGAAGAAGCCAGTGCCCAGATATAGGAGATGGAGTGCTATTTGTGGGAAACAGCAAGAAAAGTAGTATGACTGGACTTTAGAGTATGTAGAGGGGAGTAGTGAGATTGGAAATGTATGATCATTAGGCTTTAGAGAACTTTAAAGCCAAACAGAAGAGTTCATATTCTAAATAGCTATAACTAGAGAGAAAGATCTGAGAGGCCTCTGCATAGATTTTTCATTCTCACAAGGGAAAGTTCAATCAAGGGGCTGAAAGGAATTGAAGTGACTGATGTAAAGGCAAAAGGCATCAATAAAACTTTTAAAAATCAATAATGAAAAACAAAGGAGTAGGTTTAAATTACCAGAGTGTAATCATTTATACACAACTTGAATATTTTAGGAATAAGTCCTTTCTCCTTAGTTTTATCCCACTCAGTTTTGGGAAAGAATCCACAAAGTCTTAGTTTGGTGCCATATCTTGCCACAGAGGTCACCCTGGGTTCTCAAAGGCTATGCCAGTGGAGGTTCAGGTATAGTTTCACAATAGCCTGTGTCTGCTTTTTAAGCATCAGTCAATCAAGCTACTACAGAGAGGCCCAGTAGCCTACTCACATAGAGATGAATTATTTGACCAGGACAACTCATGGACAGCTCCTTCAAAGCAAAGACTGACTGCTTAATTTTTGTCTTTGTATTTTCAGTGCCTTGCACAGTGCTTTTATCATTGTGGGCATTTAATATATGTTTGTTAGACTGATTTGAATCAACTGAAACAAAGGAAAATACAGAGTAGTTAGTCTTTTGTAACTTCTTTCTGCTTCTCCTGTGATAGTGACAAGAAGGTGCTAAATATTGGTTTTTAAATGATTTATGAAGATTACCTGTTGATATTCTAAATGTGAGATCAAAGATCAACAAATCAATATACTACCAAAGGAATGAAAACATATCAATATTGATAGTTTTAAATAAAACCAAAAGACAAAAAGAAGTTGAACTTAAATATATGGATGGTTCGTAGGCTCCTTGAAGAGGCAAATAAAGAAGTTGTGGTTTTATAGTATATTCAAAAGCAATGTGAAATATTATTTCATAGAATATTTGGTCATCTCTTCTTGCAGCATTCCTGATAAGCATAAACAAAAATACCACCGTCAAGTTAATTGTAGTTATGTGCCAACATTTACAATAGAGGTTGAAGTAGAGAAATTCTTCTAAGAGCTCAGTAAGACCTTTCAAATTAGACCAATCTTAATTTTTAATACTGGTTGATTTAAATGCCACACTGGGCACAGGGAGGTCACTGAAAAATATGTTGGAAAACTCAGTTCTGAGTAAGAAATAAGACAGGCCAAGGGCTTATGGGCCATAAAGAAGTTTCCCACATATGTGTCATGAATACTTTCTTCAAGAAGAAAGTTGGAAATTGATGGCAAATACTAAATAAATAACATAAGAATAAAATTAATTTTATGTGAAGACGGAAAATTACTGTTTACAAATATATGAATCATTTTCAAATTAGTTGTCTTTGGTTCACTTTCGGTTGTTCTCACCATCCCTTATTAACCTCTGAAAGCCTAGAAAATATCGCCCCAGGAAAAACCCTAGAACAGCTGACCAGCAGAAAGATGGGGTGCAGCAGTCCTATAGCCCAGGAAGCTTGAGTGATTAACAGGAAAGGCCCCTTTTGCCCTGGGGGAAGGGGAGCAGTACAGAATGGGAGGCATCCCAGCAAGCTAGTGAAAAGCCCCACCTCAGCATACCAGGGGGGTGATCTTAAACCCCAGGTGGTGGAGCAGGCAAACACCAGGACCCCGTAGTGCCTCAATATGGGCAGGGGAACCAGTGGAAACCAGCTTGGAAAACCACCATGTTGCCATGGTGTTCTACAGCAGCCAAGTCTCCCAGTGCCTCAGCAACTCTGAGAAGTGCAGCTCCAAGGAGGAAAGCCCCCAGGCAGAGAAATATCCTGCAGCAGCAAAACATCCATATGAAAGGAGCCAAGAAAAGGAAAGGAAGGAAAGGCCTAGGTGAGCAGGCAACTTCCAGGGGCCAGACTACCCAATCCTACCCCAGTTCCAGCATTGCTGATTCCAGCCCAACACCAGGTAAGCTGTCAGAACCCTACAGCCTTCAACTGCCAGCATTTGAGATCCCAACACACAAAGCCAGTGACCAGGCCCTGGGCTCACAGCACAAGAAGCTTGGGTCAGTGCCCTCTGCTCCCCAGCAGGAAAGCTTGATCTTTGTGAAGGCCAGGAAATTAGCAAACACCTTGAGCAAAAATAAATGTATGCTAGATTCTTATTTTGGGAACAGTGAAGATCAAGGCAGAAATTGTGAAGAGTGAAACATTGTCAACAAACCCTCATCTGGAACCGCAAAAGGGAATATGAATTGGTCTGAAGCCCAAAAAGCCTTCTTGGAAGAGCTCAGGAAGGATTTTAAAAGTCAAATAAGAGAGGTAGAAGAAAATTGGGAAAAGAAATGAGAAGTATACAAGAGACAGTCAGTAGCTTGGAAAAGGAAGGACAAAAATTAACTGAAGAAAACAACTCATTAAAAAGCAGAATTGACCAAACAGAAAAGGAGACACAAAAACTCACTGAGGAGAAGAATTCTTAAAAAATAAAATGGGCCAAATGGAAAAGGACGTACAAAATCTAATAGAAGAAAACAATTTGTTAAAAATTAGAATTGGGCAAATGGAAGCTAATGACTCTATGAGAGAGCAAGAATCAGTCAAACAGAAACAAAAGTGTGAAAAATAGATGAAAACGTAAAATACTTCATTGTTAAAACAACTGACCTGGAAAATAGATCCAGGAGAGACAATTTTAAAATTATTGGTCTACCTGAAAATCACAATGAAAAAAACACCTGGACAGCATCTTTCAGGAATCATCAAGGAAAACTGCCCTGAGGTCCTAGAACCAGAAAGAGATCCCAAATTGAAAACGCCAAGGAATATAGTAGCCAAATTCCAAAATTACCAGGTCAAAGAGAAAATTCTGCAAGCAGCCAGAAAGAAACAATTTAAATGTTGTCTTTGTAATGTCTGACCACAGATTTTTTAGATCTTTAAAAATTTTGGACAGTAGCATCTCAGAACAGTAAGAAGCAGTAGAGAGAAAAACAGATTTTTGGACAGTTTGGCAAGAGAACTAAGCTAGATCATCCTAAAGGCATTCAATGAAATATGAAAACAGACAGAAAATGGAAATAGGTTTAAAAAAAAACTATATGTGACAAGCTTGTTTCTCCAGCAGTGACAGTGGAGTTACCACATTTGAACTCTAACATCGTAGTCTGCAATGAAAAGGAGAATGGAAAGATGTATTCATGGAAGATGTCTGTAGAGATGATGCAGTTTTGAGGGCATTAAGAGATTGAATCCCAAGATGTCTGAAAGAAAGGAGGATACTAAACTCTTTGGGGAAAAAAGTTATATGCTTTATTATTACCCAAAAATAGTGACCAAGAAAGTATATCTATTGACCCAGATGAGTATTTTCCTAGCTCTGTAAAATCTTTATCAAAAATAATCTATCCATGAATCACTAACAACCTTGATGAAGGTATGAAAAGAGCAAAGCTTTCAAAAATGACTTTCTAGAGCAGAGCACATCTTTGTAGACACACTGTTGACCAATAGCTCAAAAATACAAAAATCTCACTGTGCTTATTTTGTCGACTATGAAAAAATCATTTTATGTTGAAAAGCAAGACGCTACCTTAAAGACTGTTTTCCAACAAAATATGTTGCGTACATGTCAAAATCATACAAGGTTCCTTGAAAGATAGAACAATGGAAGTATAAGTTTTGGTGACCTCATTATTAAATCAGTCAACATGTATAACATAGAGATGTTTTCACCAAACATACTTGCCCCTGAAATGGAAGCTTTCCAGGTTTGGGTCAAAGTGGGAAATGGAGGAAATATAGGGAAAATCCCTATAGATGGGGAGATTTCCTTGATGTTCTATTTGCAGATGCTGTGAATTAGAATCCATACTAATACTTCTATTCTTTGCTTCCGCTGCTGCTGCCAGACCCAGTACCATCTCTTCCATTTCCCTCCTAAACCTACCTCAATACATTAACATATATAGTTTATTTTACATGCATAGTTCAGAGTTTTCTTTGTTTAAAGAAAACGAACTGCAACAAAACATATGACAATGGAGAAGAGTCAGAATCAACAAAACTGGAAATAAGTAACATAAAGGATTTAGGAAGGACTTAGAGTAGAAAAGGATCCTCAGAATCTTCTTGTTAAAGGAATTGGATTTGGAGTCAGAGGGCCTGAATTCATATCTGGGCTTCTGCTACTTACTACTTGTGTGACCTTGGCAAATCACAGTTTACTCAT